TGTGTGTGAGTGTGAGAGTGAGTATGTGAGTGTGTGTGTGAGTGTGAGAGTAAGTGTGTGTGTGCGTGACCTCTCCCATTCTGCTAAAATTTTTTTTGTATCTTTGACGCACTCTACCACTACTCCCATGGAGATGAAGTCCTGTTGTGTTGAGAAAACATTTTCTACCCAACACAAAAGCAGTTGCTAATTCTCCTAAATATCATACCGAGGTTTTTAAAAAAATATTTTATTTGCATTATTTTCTGCCAGCAGAAAATTCTGTGGTTTTAGCAGTGGCATGAGAAGGGTTCCTGAACCCCAGTCATCTTTAATTATGCAAATATAGGATTTGGGACAGAGAAAAAAACTGGTGTTGAGGGGGTCTCACAGAAGAAAGACAGGCCTCTAGTGTTCTGAGAGACGTTTGCGATGGAATCAGGAGCAGTAGGGGTGAGTAGAGACTTGGGCAGTCTATTCGGCCTCAGATTGCACCAAGGTGGAATTCTCCTTCCTCCTTGAACTGGAGTCCATGGAGAATTCCAAATAGCAACGCTTGTTCCTCAAACCTGATCATCTTTATATCCTCTCACTGCGCTAGACAGTGTGAAGACTTGAAAAAAATGAAGTCTCTGTCCAGTTTTAGCACTGCCCATATTGTGGACAACTAGGGAACACGAACTGCTGAGACGAACATTTTCTCTGTGTAGGGAGCTAAGACAGCTTCAGGATGGAGACTCGAGTCCCTGGTCTGGCGTCTTTCTAGCGCGACGGGCTTCCTCCTGCTACTCAGTCCAGAGGCCAAGAGCTGGATTTAGGGTTCGGTGCAACCTCCTGCAGGCAGGAGCGGGAATGAAGCTCTTCTGTGAATCCGTTGCTCTCAGAGCTGGTGCCGTGGCTGTGGGAGAGAAAGCCTGCGATGAGGTGACACTGGATACTGGGCTCGGTGGAGGCTTTCGTGACCCGCCCGTTGTCATGTTTCAGCTACTATCAGGCTTACATGGCAGAGCTTCTGCGGTGCTCACTATGGAGATGCCTGGAAATGTTGGCTGCTTATTTTCTTTTACTGATAAAATGATATATTTTTATAATATACACTTTTATTCTTCTACCTTACCTGGATTGCTCAGCATCATTGAAGAAAATTATAAAGCTACTGTTAATTCATTTTCTGCACATCAAACTGAGCCCTGACATTCAACTGTTACAATGAGTTTCTAGTAACGAATATTTCTCTTTTCCTTTCTCCACAAATCTTTATCATGGTCCTCAAATTCCCTGCCTCATCATCAGTGAGGACCCAATAGGGAAAATAGGGACATCAACAGGCAGAAATTTCTTGAAGTTTCTCTCCAAATGACCAGTGAAACAATTATATCACACCCGACCTTTTACTTTTCCTTTGACCTCAAAAAAATCCAGATATTTTATCAGTGCCCATGAGAACTCTAGACCTGTAACCATGAGTCATTTTGCTTTCCTATTGACAAAGTAGAGAAGAACGTTCCACAGTTTAGCTTAGTGTACAACCAGCTTCAACTTACATTATTGATTGACCTCACAAATGGTAGGACAGCTGAATTTCACTGAGGAAATTCAGTGAAGACCAGATCAGATGAAATGAAGGGAGTTCTAGAAACCTCGATGCTGTTGAGAAATGACCGATTTCACTTTGTCTTTCCGTATTAACCCACTAACAGTTTTCTGCATGTACATAGCTTGAGAATCGGTCTAGAGCAAAGACAGGGACCCTGGAGGCCCGTTACCCAAGGACAAGGACCCAGAGCCTTCTCTGCCAGTGTCCACTTCACCTCCCACACACTCACCGCCTCCAAGTCACAAGTGTCCTGCAGCTGCTGGGTCAGAGGTTGGGGCTGATCTTGTCTCTCTGGGCTCTGCTTCCATTTCTGTTTGATGACAGACAGGTGCAGCAACTCCCTCTTGTCATCCATGGGCGTCCTCTGAAACAGGCGCTTTCTGGCTCTGCTCCTCCCTCGCCAGCATGTTTCGTCCTTGATGAGTTGGTCTTCCTCACCAGTGACCTGGGAACCCCACAGGTCTCTCTGCGCCCATGCAGAGTCTGGGTTCCACTGCCCGTCTGCTCTGGGCAGAAACTGTGTGCAACAGGGGACCTCAGGATCAGAATCCAGAATTTGAGGTGGCGCTCGCTCCGTGGATGTCCCCTGCAGGTTCCCCACCTTCGGGCAGAGGACACATGGGTTGGAAGAAGTGGAAAGCTTTGTCCCCCATCATGGGAGCCACAGGAACTTCCTGGGGCCTGGGTCCGACTCCAGGGCCTTTCTGAAGGACCATTTTCTCCCCTCTCACTCTGTTCATCACTTCCCACACCGCCTGGTCCAAACGGTCCCCTCATGGGGTGGTGAGAACCGCTCTCAGGGGCAGGTATACAGGCACATCTTGGAGAGGGCTTTCTAGAGGCGGCCTCTGGGGGAGTGAGGTTCAGGGGGCCAGGATCCTTACGGGTGGTACCTCAGTTAGGTTGCACCTCCAGAACATGGGAGATGGTGTGAACTTTTGAAAAGGTATCTTAGACACGTAGGAGTAGAGACAGAAGAAGGCATCAGCAGTGACAGCCAGTGTTTGCACCTGTTTAAACCGACCTGGGCACAAAAGTTGAAGATGATGAATGTGGGGATCAATTATTTTAAAAATATCTTCCTGCAGTAAGCGTCCTAAAGTGTCCATTTCGCCACTGATGTTTATCCCACTTAGATATTTCACACCCACGATCTCCTTTCTTGACTTCCCGACTCTCCATCCAAGTAGATATTACCTCTAGTCAAAAAAAATTAATTCGTACATGCAATGAAAAGCTTCTTTTAATTTAGCCTACCTTATCTTCTGCCACTACAATCTAGACAATGGCCTCATCACTAATTGCTTTAGACGATAAACAGGCCCAAAAGAAGGGACAAAAGTGACATTTTCTTAGGTGGATATCAAAACTTTAGGATGATAAAAAGATTTTTGATAGCAGTGAGTTTGGAACAAAGCAATTCCCAGGCACCAGAGGGGTGGAGATATTGAGGTGAGTTGTGTCATTTCTGCTAGACCTTTATTCCTCAGCCTGCAGTCATCATCCAGTATATTGGCATTGCTGGGGGACATTATCAAAGCAGATGTTCGGACTGTACCACAAGCATTTGAACGGTGTCTTACAGTAATTCATATGCACACCCCAATGTGAAAAGCATCCTCATCACACCACGTTCTCTGTTAAGCTGTTCCCTTCCAAAAGCTAAGAGTCACGCTCCTCTTGTCCAGCAGCTCTTCTCCCAGAACTTAATACCTAGTTAGGTACTTGGAATATAAAGTAAATGAAAGAAATTATTCTCAAACTTCAGCATACACTGAAGGCTGCTTGTCAACCTACTCTAACTCAGAATTCACATATGGAAATCTGGAATCTAGGATTTTTAGTTGAATCTGATGTAAACAGCTTGAAACAGGACTACCAGACACAACATCACGTTGGGGTAGACTAGAATTTGAAATACACATTAGCAAGACAACCACATTGTCTATTTTCTCTCATCAAGGTGAAGAAGCCCTCACAGACATTTCCTTAGTATGGTATCAGGATAACGTAAATCATTGTTTACCTACGTCTAAATACTCTATGTAAGGTTATCTCTGTGCTTGTTTAGAATAAATACCTGTGAACCAGCCGCTCTCTTAGGGAAAAACCTAGGACTAGCAACAGTCATTGTAACTATTTCTTAGAAACTTGCTGGTCAATTTAACAAAGTCAGTTTTGAGAACCACTGCCCTAAATGGAACTGATTCTATGCCATATCCATAAATGAGGACTATGCAATAATTCCAATGAGAAGAAAAAGTGTCGATAAGATTTACATTCCTGGTTCTGGTTTGGTGCAGCTAAAGGGGAAGCTTTGAGAAAGGAAGAGTGACATGGGATGCTGAGGATTCTCTTCCAGGGACAGAAGACGTCAAAGTTCTCCATCTTCACCGAAGACAGCAGACAAGAAACTAGACAAGAGACCAAGAGCTTAGAGAAGGTGACCCAGAGCAGGAGGGCAGGAGCTGTTGGCCTCTGTAGAGAACTCCTGGGCTCTGAGCAGGAGCTGTAGTGACACTCACTGGCCAGCATGAGACAGGGGTCCTCCATCTCGAGCCTCTGCATCTGGGCCTTCAGGAAGCGCTGAAAATCAATGCCTTTGGCCCGGGACGGGGCGGTAAAAAACCGGGCAGGAATTCGAGAAGTGTCCTGATGGTCCTGCTGACCAAAGCCCAGGCGGAAGAGGACATCTTCTGCATCTTCTTGCACTTTGTCCAGAATCTCTGAGATGCTGGAAGTAGGGAGTTCGGGTAAGTGACAGCAATTCAGAGGAACGGAGTAACCCACTGTATCTAGTACGTGGGTCAGGAGACTGATGATTTTCTGGCCAAGTTTCTGAGATAACTTTCTACCTTCTGCTGTGAATGTGAGGAAAACTTTGACTTCTCTGAACTTAAACTCTCTGAATCATGAGATTTACAATCTAGCCCTGGTTTAAAAGTGGAATGAGATTCTATCATCGTACTTTGAATTATTGACTACAGATGAGTGAAAATTTACTACAAGAGGAATGGAAAAAACCCCAAGAGGTATGGAAGCAAAAGAATCTTGGGGTCATCTTGCACTCAGTCAGCATCTGTTGGCATGCACTCGGATGGGTCTGACTTTGCCAAAGGCTTTACAAACGGGCATCCAGCTTGGCCTGGTGATCATGAGGGACAGCAGGGAACAAGTGTGTAAAGAACATAAAGCTGACTTTATTCTCACTTGAACAGTAAAAGCTGACCAATGTGGGCATGTTCAAAACCTGATTTTGGGCTCCTTGATGGAGCAAGGTGTTAAAGCGCAGCCCTGCAAAGCTGTCCACAGCCACTGCTGCACGAGTTCAATCCCCGGCCAGCGAGTGACCCCCAGGGCGCAGCAGGCCTCTCCTGTCTCCCTGCAGTGGGTTTCAGCCCATCTGCCTGTTCTGCTCCGCCCTCTGTCTCTCCGGTGAATCCTCTCACCAGTGAGGGGATTCACCAATGATAGAATAGGGAGCAGAACAGGCCGATTGGCTGAATTACACTGCTGAGGGGAGCAGCGGGCGGGTCAGGAGAGGTCTGCTGCGCCCTGCGGTTTACCTTTGGGGCCGGGATCGAACTTGTGGCTTTAGCTTCTCAGTGCCGTTCTTTAACCTGCTGGGCCACCAGGGAGGGCCCCATTTGTATAAATCTTAAAGCAAAGACATTCCAGAAAAAGAGGCCCATGGTTTTCAGTTTTATTCCCCTTTGCCTTCGCGTCCCCGGCCGTTCTGCTCCCGCCGAAGCTGGGACCTACCTGGAACTAGTCTCGTGGGTCCCACCAGTCATGCCGCTGGACGCTAAGCTGCAGCCCAGGTCCAGCAGTGGGCAAGGCCGGGCTGTGTCCAGGAAGGCCCTGCGGGGACAGGCGATGGCCTTCTGCCCTCCCCGGCAGCAGCACTGTGACCCCAAGTGCCCCCACGTGCGCTTGGGGCACAGCCACACCCTGCCGCCTTCCCCACCGGCTCTGGGGTGACTGGGCCACAGCCTATTTCTGGCTGGGGCACCTCCCACCCTCCGCCGCAAGTCTTCGGCTCTTTTGCTCCAATCTCTGATGCTGACACCTGTCCCCAGGCAGTCATTCCTGAGGGGGACATTCTTCAGCCTGGCTGAACCACACACCTACCTGGAGAAGAGTTTGCCATTGGCGGCCAGCAGGGTGGCTGGACGGGGAATGGAAAGATGAAGAGAAAGTCAGAAGTGAAAAATTCCCTCAGCTGTGCCCTCTCTGTTCTCTGCCACAGCTGCAGACTGGTTGAACTCATGAACTTTGCTCTTTAGGGAAGTACCCAGAGCGTGTTTGATAAGCACAGGCCTGGGAGGGGGCAGATGTGGAGGTAAGAACTGGCCCTGAGCTTCTGAACTCTGACCTATGGCCAGGGTCTGGGTGAGGGCGGCTCTGTCCTGAGCTGCTGGTCCGTCCTGCATCCCCGCTGGCCACACCACGCCCACCCTTTACTCAGAGCCTCTCTTCTGCTCTCTCTGGGGTCTCAGGTTACTCTGGGCTTGGGATGCGAATAGTTTTGATTGGGGCAGCGAATAGGGTGACTATACCCGTTAAATTCCTTAGGCCCCAATGGAAACTCCAAAAACGGCCAAGGGAATATTTATGGGCATGTGACCCTTTCTGAGTTTCACACAGATCGCAGCTGTTCTTTGCCTACAGAGAAGCCTGCAGGGACAGGCTGCAGCGCCCGCGGTTCCCGCCCAGTCTGTCCTTAGTCCACCCAGCATAAACGGTCGTTCCTCAACCCCTTCCTCAGAGACTTTGCTCACCCTCTGCTCCAAGCGTCAAGTCATCTTCAAAGCTGGTCCCGTGGCTGGGGCACCCTGTCAAATACCAGGCAAAGGGCAGAGATGGCAGCATGTGTGCACACACCCGACCACCTGCACGTCCTGAAGTTCGCGCAGCTACACGGTCTGATCAGATACCCATGTTTCTGCAAAACTCTCCCCCAGCTCAGGACTCACGCTCATGTTTTGATTCAGAAATAATCCCACAGCCTTAACCCGCCTTCCCTAGCTGTCCCCTAGACCGGCCGGCAGGTGGACCCGGCCCCGCCCAGCAGAAGGTGCGTGGGGGGTGGGCCTCACGCAGAGACACCCCGTTATGAAGCTCTTCTCTCCCGGCCGTAGCTGCTAACCTGCGCGACTCCGACAGAAGAGCACAGCGACCCGCGGCATCCGGGCCAGCGCTGCCCACCCCTAGACTGCCCGGCGCACAGGGGTGTCAGGTGGACAGGCAGCGGGCGCAGCTCGCACGCGCATGCGCACGTCCTATCTGCGCGCGCCCACGGGTCCCCTGGCCGGACTCCACTCACCACTGTAGAGCGACTGTCCTGCGTCCTCAAAAAACCCTTCTTCAGAGTTTCTGAAACCGAAAAGGACACGAAGCTTGAGATCACTACACTCCCAGAGGCTTTTTCTCAGATATTTCCCGCAAGTTCATATTTTTCATGAGGCAGCAGTATTTACATGGTTCTAGCTGAAGAAAACTAAGACAAACTTTTTTTTACACTATTTAGTGGACACATTTAGAGCGGTCATCTGAGTTGGGAGAGGTGAACACCATGTTTTAGACTGTGCTTTCGCTGACCAACTACATTGTCTCGGGTCAGCTGGGGTCTCAGTGGTGGTGCAGAGGTTAAAGCACAGCGCTGTGAAGCTCTCGCAACCACTAAAGCACCAGTTCGATCCCCGGCCAGGCGGGTGGCCCACGTGGCAGAGCACGTGACTCTGCTCCCTCAGCAGTCAATCCAGCTGTTCTGCTCCCCACTCTGTCTCTGGTGAATCCTCTTACCCTTTGCACCTCTGGCCTGTACCCCAGCTCTGTACCCATAAGTAAATAAGTCTTTAAAGAAAAGTCAGCCGAGCTACAATTGTTCACTCACTCAGTAAAACAGAAAAGACTATGTAGGAGCAAACCCAGAAAAATTCAGTGATAAAAGCAAATGTCTGATTGCCTGGCTTTCTATATCACAAATACAAATATTGAGATTTTTTCAAAACGTTGAGAAAGCTTATCTCAACGTTGAGAAAGTCAGCTTATCTCCCCGCACCCCCTTCCTTTTCTCTGAGCTGTGCTCTTGCAGAATCTCCTATCTTTCAGCAGCAGCAAAAATTGCATCTTGGTTGAAGATGGTATTTCTACACTTTGAGATAGGCTGTTATCAAACTATTGCCATCTGTACAGAAGAAGAACAGAAATCAGCATCAATGGCAACGAGGAACAACTTTGCTTTACAAACAAGGAAGTGAATGAAGTAACCTGTGGAAACACTTTTAGCTGGGCCCAGAGCAGGATACCAGTCCTGCCCTCGGGGCTGCGGTGGCCCAGATACCACATCGGGCCTCTGGAGGCTACGTGGCTGCGCTTTCCAAGCCAAGCACCGGTGTGCTGTGAGTTTTATAGTTTGTTTTCCTGGGAGTCTTGAAGTATTAGTTGCCTGGAATGCTCTGGCTAGAATCTCAGGTGGAGGCTGGAGCAGAGCAGTTACTAAAACGAGTTACTGGGAGCTGGTCTAGGGTGAATCCATTGTAGATGGCCTTGCATGTTTTATTTTTATTTTGCAAATGGAGGCAACATTGTTTTACAACACTGTCTGATCAGGGGGCTGGGTTCACACCTCCTCAGATGTGTCTACACAACACACCCACTCCCAATGCACCACAGACCACTAGGACCCACCCCCAGTATTCCCGCTCCCACAAAGGAGCCTTCTCTTATCAGTCACACTGACATGTGTCATCTCCTGGAATTATTAGTGGGAGTGGGTTTATTAACTGAACACCTGGCAATCAAGTTGTGTTTAAATTTACAGGATGAATCTCCACCTGTTAGACACCTTTGACTGGAAAATTCCCATAAGGTCAAGGCAGCCTCGGCAAGGCTAGGGGCAGGAACCTTGGACCTGGGGGCTGTCCCTGTTCCTGGACCCTTCACCGTGAGCCTTCCTTGGGAACCGCCTGCTTTCCGGAATCACCTCTGCACTCGGGCATACAGTAAACGTTGCTGATTAAATAATTGTCTCAGAAACAGAAAAGCAAAGCAGCTCCCCTACCCTGTAAAAACTTACCCGCACTCCCCAGTGGGTGCGACTTCACTGACCCTACCTTGCCTTTGGGGCCTGTGACCTTCCTTGCCCAGAAGTGCAGTAAAGTTCCTACTTGTTAGAGACTTGGCCTGACCTTCCATCCTCTAACTGTGCTGAGCCTACAGAGCCTTGTGGTTCCTTTGTCTCATGAAAAAAATCAACTATGGGCCCTCCCTGGTGGCGCAGTGGGTTAAAGTGAAGCAATAAGAAGCTAAAGCCACTTCAGCACGAGTTCTATCCCCGCCCTGGAGGTGACCCCCAGGGCGCGGCAGACCCCTCCTGACCCGCCCGCTGCTCCCCTCAGCAGTGTACTTCGTCCATCTGCCTGTTCTGCTCCCCACTCTGTCTCTGGGGAGTCCTCTCACCACCCCTGCACCTCTGGCCTGTACCCCAGTTCTGTGTGCATAAATCAGTAAATCTAAAAACAAACAAACAGACAAGACAAACCACCTTGGACGAGAGAGTGCTAAGTAAGCACAGATGGGCTTACTGACAGCAGTTAAAAGATGACTGTAGATCAAAAGCTCTATAAAATTTGAAATGCTCATGGGAGGAGAAGTGAAGAATAGGCAAGAGCTGTAAGTTCTAAGAACTCATTATCACACCAGTGATCAGACTTAAAGAGGGCACAGGAACTTTGCCTTTGTGCCTGATAGACCAAGGCTGACCTTCGCTATGGTACCAGTTGGTGGGGCACGGGGTTTCTACGAAAAGGGATTCTGCATTTCGCCTTGAAGTGTCTGCTGCCACGCTCCGCTGCTTGCAGTGACTGGCCCGCTACCCCTCTTCTTGGGTTCTGCAGTACGAACCACGTGGTATTACTCTGATCACAAGGACAATTAATTTCTAGCTGCTCTTCTCTTGCTCCACAGTGTAAGAGTCCGGTCTGAAGGGGAAAACACCCGAGTAGGGATCTGGGCTTCACCTCAGCTGTGACCCAGGCTGCTTCCTACCATCCTTGCCTGTAGAAAGCCCCGGCCACCCCCTCCCCGCGGCCCCTGCCCCCCAACCCTCCCCCTCGGGCGCTCACCCACAGTCCTGCAGCCAGTCTTCAATCTTATTGAGTGGATTCCCTAGAAAAGTCAAACATCACATCACTGGGGAACGAGGCACCCACACTTCTTGCAGCCCACCCTGCCCGCTGGTATCCCGTAGAAGCAACACGCTGGGTCCGCTAGGGCCCGTGAGGGTTTTCTTTCAGGTGTGAGAGGAAAACACCCTGGCATGAAAGTAGCAACTGTCTCTTCTTTCTCAGCCTCGCTGCCCCTTCCAGCCAGGAGCCTGGAAAATGCTGGGGTGTCTCTTTCCCCTGAGTATGGGAACAGAGAAGGATATTTTTTAAAAAAGGGGGGGCACACAGGTGAATGTGTGGGGGTGTATCTACCCATCTACTGAGAGCCCCCTGGGATTGCATCATTAGGCAAAGAAGTCTAGGCCAGGCGAGCAACTTGCCAGAGGCCACATGGCTTAGGGAGAGAGGTGCAGAGCTCAGGGTCTGGCCCGCGTGACCTGTCACACAGATGAGAGAAACTGGCCGGAGCGCTGGCCCTGGTCTCCCTGGCAGCGGCCTCTTTTCCCATTGTCTCTTCTTCCCATAATTCCCGTCCTGGACTGCTGATCCCTTTACATTTATTTAAACCTGCCACAAAGCTCCCGGAGGGCCTCCCCGCCAGGCACAGGAGGCCTTGCCGCGTTTCCCCTGGACGGCTGACTACCGCCTGGCCGCCCCTCACCGCCGTGGAAAACGTCATCCAGGCGAGAAGGCCCGGGCCCGGGGTCATCCAGCCCGGCCGCGGCCGCCTCGTCCTCGGGGACCTGCGTTTGCCAGCGGTGGCTCTGCCTCAGCCTGGCGCGCCGCTGCTCCCAGGAATCCGCTGCGCCCTCCATGGCCCTGCGTCAGACCTCAAGGCTGCGCGCCGCCGCCGAAGAGATGCTCTCCTGAGGGTGAAAGCGCAGTGGGAAGCCACTCCCCGCACTGCCCGCCCCTCGGGTCCCTGCGCTGAAGGGCGCTCCCCGGCCCCTTGAAGGGAGGGAGAGGAAGCGCCCTTCTTCCATCTTCCAAAGACAAAATCTGAACATTAAGACAAGACTTCCAAGTCAGTAAGCCAGGGAGCTTCACACATACGATCATGGGATGTTGAGAGAGATCTTACGAGCTCTCCGCTGGCAATCGCTGGAATGCTCTGTTAGAAACATTAATTCCGATGGCTGGATCAAGAAGATGTGGTACATATACACTGTGGAATATTACTCAGCAACCAAAAAGGATACACTCAGGCCTTTGGCAGCAACATGGCTGGAGTTGGAAGGGATCGTGCTTAGTGAGCTAAGCCAGAAAGGAAAATATTGGATGGTTTCACTCATCGCAGGAGCATAAGGGATCAGAAGAAAAAAAAAAAAAAAGCAATCGCAATAAACAATAAAGTAAAAATGAAAATCAACGAACATTCTTACTGGGGTGGAGAGGGGACTGGGATCAAAACTGGAGCGGGAGCGCACATGACCTATGGCGATGGGACACGGGCGAAGTGGTGGTGGGAAGTCTATGGGGATTGCAACTGAGGTGCGAAGAATATGTCCAAAGCGAAGAACGATACATCAAGAAATTTTAAAAAATCTTTCCTCCATCCCGAAGGATTTTTTCTTTCAAACTCTTCTATTATAATTAAAATAACAACCTCGCAATTTATGAAATTCACTTCATTTGATCTTCTTAGTTATATTACATGGAGGTATTTCAGATCCCAAAGTTTAAATAGGAAGAGCTTTTCTAGACTCTTACAACCATGATGGCACTCCAAATTCAGGCCGCTGGGTCAGTCTTGGCTTCTGCTTTGCTTCATTTCCTGTTTTAGATATCAGGGCCCTCCATAGAGTATCTCTTGAGATGCTTCTGGTCTTAGCAATTCGGGTAAGAATGGAATACATTTTTTTCCCTTAAAAAAAAAGGCAGCAGTGGCACTTGAAATAAAAGATACAGGGTACATCTAAGCTTTTCTTCAAACTGTGGTAAATAGACATGGGACAGGTGAGTTGAATGAGCTGTTGTCTTCTAGTCTCCATCACAGTTGGGTTCTAGAACCTGTTCAGAGTGGGCGGCTCAGAGCAACAGAGTGCAACAATAGTATGAGGCAGGGAGAAGAGCAGAGAATCTGGTGAGTGGTGATAGCAGGAAGCTCTGGTAGCAGGAGATAAGAAAGTGACTATTTCTGTGGGACTCTGCAGGGAGTGGCAGATGGTTGTCAGTGAGAACATCAACCCTGGGGATGGTACAAGGATGGGTATGGACAGATGTCAAGGTGGTACCGCTGGGGCTCTCCCTGGCGGCCACTGCAGCAGGAGTTTGATCCTCGGCCAGGGAGTGACCCACAGGGCGCAGCAGACCTCTCCTGACCTGCCCACTGCTCCCCTCAGCAGTGAATTGCCTTAGATCTGCCTGTTCTGCTCCCTGCTCTGACCTGTATCCTAGTTCTTACATGCACAAATAAATAAAACCATTAAAAAAAAAAAAAGATGGTACCTTTGAAAGCTGGGCGTCCCTTGTTTTAGTGAGAGAGAAATGGAATTATTCCCTCCAAGTCAGTCACACAAAAACCTTTACCTATATGAAAAGTGGAATTTGATCCAGTGAAAGAGCAATATTAGGAAGCAGAAGTTGTAGAACTGGGCATTCTTCCAACTTTTTAATGCAACTGATTGATTTCTGGCAAGTTGATTAGTTTTTCTGTTTGAGCATCAGTTTGATCATCTAGGAAACACATTGGTGGGGCCCAATGTTTTATAAAGTTTCTTCCAATAGCAGCGTCGATGAATTTACGATAGTTGAATTTGAAATGTAAGTAGGAATAACACTGGTGGACAAAACTCCTCTCCACAGTTTTCCCCACACGAGTTAGGAAGCGATGCAGTAACCTCTGCAGGTGCTTCCTCCTTAGAAAATCCTTGGCAATGAGCACAGACTTGGGGATTCCTAGACCTTCCGTTTTCACTGACGCTGGAACAACACTGTAAAGAAATCCAAGGAAACCGACTCAGCCAGGCATTGCTGCTGACTTCCAGGTCTTTGACTACCTCAGCTCTTTTATTTTACTTTTTATAATTTCACGCACATTCCCCGCTACCAGGGCAAGCCTGCCTTACCTTTGAAGGCGTGCTCAGGTTACCTCCATCCTCTCCCTCACCTCTAGCGACTATACCTGCCTGTACCATGCTCACCTGACAACCTTCTGCTCCACAATTTGCACCCTCCTTCCAAGCCCCACCTCAAGACACAACATGCATAGCATAGTATCTTGTAACCCAATAAACGCTCAGGAAATGTTCTCCCTGCAGAAGAGTAACCATCACACTGGTGCTACAAAATTATCCTCATCGAAATGAGACTTTTCCAACAAAAATCACCAAGTGAAGCAGTAATTTAAGTCCTAGTTATTACACTGTGAGTGTCACGGGTTCATTTTTTGTTTATCTAAGGAATGAGGCCAGAGAGTCTTTGTTAACATGGGCAATTCAGAGCAAGAGGAACTTGTACTAGCTGAGCTGTAAAGAACCCTTATGTTCAGCCGTAAAACCTTCCCTCAGATTACGTCACTGAATCCTGACAGTCACCTTTGACCTAGTTATTGTTAGCTGAGCTCAGGAGGATTTATGACAACAGAGTTGAGATTTGAACTCAGATTGCTCCAGTTTTATAGTCTTTCACTGAGGACAGCAACACAGCATCACTTAGTATTCCGAGCCAAGTATCAGCAATGCAAGTTACTTGGGATAAAGGGGCAGAAAACCCGGCTCAGTAAATTCTCCATTTCACACTTACCAAATTCTCCACTGGGCCGTCCACTATAACCGTATAGACAGCATAAAGCAAAGCAGTTCAAACTTGACTTCGTGACAGTTTAGAGAAAGAAGTACTGTTTTGTTTCTTAACATAGTTTTCCTTCTTAACTCCAACTAGATAGTGAAGCATTTTGGCCTTCTCTGAGCTTAGGGAGTAGCTTAATGCCCGGGTTCAACTGGTTTCCGGCTGAGATGGGCTGGAATTCCACATTATTTGCAGATCACTGTGGCATTCAGGACTTTTACAGTGATTACGGAGCGGCACGGAACAATCAGAATGGACAGGAGTGGCCGCCGTGGGTTGGGTCTGGGGTATGGAAGCGCGAGCTGAAACAGCTGGGTTGGTGAAGGACGCTCAGAGGGCTTCGCTAGGAATTTACGAGTCGGCACAAATGTACTGTAGCCCAGCTATTGTGAAGTAGTTGCTACCAGCCTGAACCTGCCAATTATCAGCCTTGCTTAAATTTTTTAATTATTCCAATACTTTATTTCCATGAACCTAAGAATCTATTATTAACTAATTAATAAAATTATTATTTTTTAAATAAACATAATAGTTTGTTTTTACATCATTTTGTACATTTTTTTTTCATCTCAATTATAATCCCCTTGGGCTTCCGATCACCAAGTCACCCGTGTGCCATCACCACAGTCCCATGCACTTCCCTCCTCCCGCCCCCGTTTTTGATCCCACTCCCCACTCCACCCCTACAAAATGTCTCTGGTATATGGCTGTTCATTATTCTTATTATTTTCTGCCTGGTCCATTATACTCCTGCTATGAGCGAAACCACCTGGCACAGCTCACTGTTTTTTTAAGGGAAGCGGCCAGAACACAGGCAGAAGACTCAGATTCGAGCTTGTTGGGACTCAAAGTTCTGTCCACTTATTGCACTTGGGTCCACAAACGACTTATCACTCTCAATCTATTTTTTTTTTAAATCAGTGAAACATAATGTACTAAAATTATGTTTGGGGGGGTAAAAGATCAGTTCATGTATATTAAGTGTCTGATCTCTAAAGGAGGTCTTCAAGTGATAACAGTGATCATTATGATTATGATTAATCTTCCCACAGTCTAAATGCTCACTAAAGTTGGAATATCAGAAATAAGGGGACAAGGGAGAAAGGATGAGCTACAGGACACAGAATCTGTGTGAAGCTCAGTTAGTGAGAGAGAAATGCTACTGAGAGATGAAAAATAAGCAATAAAATAAACTGTTATAAATAAAAAGAAAAAGAAGCAACAGATAGGCCACTTGTTCTTACTTCATGTCCAATGAGATCAGCAAGATCATTTACTCCTGGTCACCTACTTTGTGGTTGAATAAACAGGGTGAGGGAAAGAGAAAGGCTTATCTGAAGCCGCTCAGAGTGTCACTGGTCATCAGTGGAACTCAAACGCCCACATCCGGAGCCCCAGGTGCAATATCACACAGCCTCCCTCCTTCCACTCTTGGCTTCCAAGAAAGACCAGCCTCCGGTCTTCTTCAGCACTGGGGCCTCTTTCCCGACACTCTTTGCGTGTGCTGTGCCTACACTTCAAGCTGAGTCTGTGAATTTTGCCTGAGAGTGAAAACAAGTGTGGGAGGAGAGAGGGCGGAAATGGAATTTCCATGATGGCGCCCCGAAGACCCTCTGCAACGTGTCGACGTTCACTGCCAAGCCACACCTCACCGCTGTTGCAAAGGACTGTGGGAAATCCCAAGAGTGGTCCACATTTCTGTGGACTGGGCAAGCCCCACCTGCAGCTAGGGTGACGGCCCTCCCTTCTCCACAGACCCAACCTGAAACACGCTCTCACTTCCTCCAGAGATAGGAATCTAAGGCCTCTTTCATCCCACTGCCGTTGGGAAGACGGTGAGAACAAGAACGACCCTGCGTGTGGCCTTTGAGCGCGTTGGCATCTCTGCGGTCTAATGATGCAGCTCGGTCTCGTTGAGGGAGAAAGGGGGAGGCGTTTCATAAATAATGCCAAGAACTGTGCCGTTCACAAATAGAGCATCTACTCCATTCTCATTCCCTCCCTCCCACAAATATATGGAACTGGA